ACTTCAAGGTGACGGAAAACATGTTGATGACCTGTTGGGCTGCATTGAGAGTTTCAAAATGAAGCTAGGACTGTACACTGCACAACTTAAAGATAGTGATCTAACTCACTTTCCACTTCTGAATGACGCGTGTGATGGTGTACTGGACATGCAACAGAGAGAACGATTCGTTAAAACTGTCAGTCAAATGCAAGAAAAATTCATCTCTCGTTTTTCTGATTTTGAGAAAATAAAATATGCAGGACATTTCATCAGAGAGCCATTCACTTTCCCTGTGGAAAAAATCAAGGACTTGGCTGCAACTTTCGGTTTGCCTCGCCGCGCTCGAAGATGAACTGATGGATGTTCAGGCAAGAGGACACAGCCAAACCGCGCAGCAGTCATCCTCAGTTGCAGAAGTGTGGCGAAACATCTCTGGACAAAACCTCAGATTATTAAGTTCAAAAGTGCTTTCCATATTTGGATCCACATACATTTGCGAACGCACATTTTCTGCAATGACGCGCATCAAGTCACGTTTCCGTGCACGTCTTACAGACTACAACTTACAGTCACAACTTCATTGTGCTGTTACTCCTTCTGAGCCAAATTTCACCAAATTGGTCGGCTCCCGACAACATCAGGTGTCCCATTAATGGTAAGTAGAATTATACTCTCTAATGATAATAATACATCTAATTGTAATAATTTTAGATGCATAATATCTGGTTATTGAGCGTTGATGACGTCATATGTAAATAATATGCGGCCCGTGAGACTTGAACTTGGACATAGTGCGGCCCACTACAAAAAAAGGTTGAGAACCACTGGTCTAAGGCAACATCAGGCTTGACTTATACATTACACAAGAAATGTTAATCACGGACACATTTTATGGACTCTCATGAGATCGATTTAGTATTTGGTGGGCACGTCAAACAAATTTTTATTTTAAAATAAAAAAATAGGAAGGGGTAGCAAATCCCTGAGTCAGAGCTAATACCAATGGGCATGTCAAACCATTTTTTTTAAAAAAGGGGCTTCATATAATTTTAATGACTGTTCTTTTTTAAGATTATCCAACATTGAAATAATCAAATATATAAAAATCAATCTAAAGTTTACTGCCACTGCTTTTGCGTGAGCTCTGATTTTAAACTGACTCAAAGATAGTATGGCACATTTATGAGAAATTGAACAAAAACATGTGAGGAGGAGTAAAATTAACAAGACATTGTTACCAAAAGACATTTGACTTCCACTATATAAAATATTTTGGACTCCACTGAGACAATATGGAGCAAAAGCAAGTGAATTGTCGCTACTACTTTGTGTTGTGTTGGCGCAACTCACACCACCACCAACAACTTATTTGACAGACTACTGGTAGACAAATTCTAATTGGCTATATTTTATTTAGGGTCAAATTTGGGGTATTATTAAAATAAATGTTACAAAATTAATGGAAAAATAACCAATATCACAATGTGATTTTTTTCCAATATCATTTAGCCCTAGGGTACGATGATAAGATTATAGGAATAAATTGGGCGGGGGGGGGGGCGGAGAATCAGGGATTTGGGGCAGGGTGTGAAAACACCAAAGAGACGAAGAGCATGGAGCTGACTGGGGCTGGTAATGGGGCATAAAGTTCACATCAATCTGGCACATTATACAACACAGCATCTGATGCCCACTTCTCTCCTGTCTTTCTCCGACACTGGGATTAGCAAACCACCAACTCACAAACACCTGGCCGACCAAGAGGTGTAACAGGCCCTGGGCTGATGAATCAAAGCCACCTGCAGGGAGGAGTGGATGATGCTGAACATGCAGTGGGATGGGGCAAGACCTTTTTCAGTCCTCTCCTGTCAGACACAGGTCAAGTGAGTCAAACCCTTCAGCTATGCAGAAAAATTCTCCTTGAACTACTGCAGTTATCCAAATGGAAAATGACCAACGTATTTTCCCATTATTATGTGGACACTATTAGCACTGTAAAAAACTATTAATCAATTTTTTAAAGTCCACAGCTGAAATATAACTGATACACACAGTACGGTTTCAGCATAGAGCATTAGGGTGTAATTCGTCAGATCTACCAACCCCCACATTTGTACACATAATCCGAAGGGCAGCATCCCACAGTGCACACAGTACCCCTTTAAACCCCATTTCAGACAGGACCCCATATCTAGGGTGATGTTTACATTGCAGTGACTTCTCGTCTTCCCCTACTGGTAGTATCAGTCAGTGGAACAGCAACAAATAGGGATTTACAGTTCCTAAGGACACTACAGCTGACCGTCCCCAAACTGAAACAGCTGAGGAGGCAAGACTAGATCCAGCTGGAGACTGTCAGGGGAGGATCAGCTCCACTCTCCGATCTGAATCTACTTATCCTCACACACCTGCATTTCCACTGCCAGGCAATAGACCCATTCCCACATCAAAATACATGCATTAAAAGAACTATATTTACATGGGCATAGTAACAACAAAAAGAGCCAGAGTGAGAAGAGATACATTTAACTAAGCACAGTGCCACCACATCCATAGTAATAGTTAGCGCGTAACAGTAGGAAAGACAGTACCCTATTTTAAAATACCCTGTCTTTCTGTTCCAATGAGAGCTATCTATTTTGCTCCTATAAACAGGTTTAGAGTCCCATATGGTTTAGAGTAGAGTAGAGCTGGGTGGTATGACCATAAACTTATATCACGGTATTTTTGAAAGTTATATCGATTTCACAGTATAGACAGTATTTTTATTATTTATTTTTTTTTAAGTATAACTGGGCGTTTACCACATTTTACAGGACACATTTTTGTATTGTTCCCACATTATATTATTTTATTATTAGCCATTGTGCCTATTTGCTACCTTTTTTGGCTAACTGCTTATAGATTTCCTTTTCTTAGAAGGAAAATGCATTGCCTGGTTTTTATTGCAAAGGTTTTAATGGGCAAATTACCTCAGTACATATGTAGTTTGCTGACATTCCGCACTAATACGTACAGTACACGTTCATCAATTAAACTTCTCCTTCAGCCTCCCACCACACACACAGAACTGAGGAAATCCACCTTTTGTTCTTATGCACCATGTGAGTGGAATATATTACAAAATATGAGTTTAGACTTACCTTCTCTGAATGTGTTTAAAAATCTCTTAAACTCTTAGCTTAAAGAACAGTGTCATTGTTTCATATAAATTAATTTTATTCGAGGTATTTTTGGAGAGTTTGAGTATTTGTATATATGTTTTAGTTTGTGTTTATATTATACCATCTCTGTGTGTATATACAGGTATATATGAAACTTTTGTCTTATTTTTCTTATTTGTTGCCATCTTCGTCCTGGAAGAAGAGATATTGTATCTGAATGGAACCTTCCTGGTAAAATAAAGGATAAATAAAATAAAATAAGCGGCTAATGTTAAGGTGTGCGTCAGCCAAGTTAATATTTTTGATGTGTTTAATAGCTAGTTCAGTGTTGCTGGAACGCGAACTTTACTGACCATGCAAAATTTCTCACAAAGACCGGGATGTTGGTCTTTAAGGATACGTTCACACTGCAGAACAAATGTGGCCCAAATCCGTTTTTTTTCTCATATGTGACTCAGATTGCATTTTTTCATGACAATGTGAACAGCACAAGTCACATGGAATCCGATATTTTCAATTCCGATTTGAGCCACTTCAGCATGAGGTCATAAATCGGATATAGGTCTGATTTTCTGCAATGCGACCTCAGTCTGAACAGCGAAATCAAAATTCATGCACTTTTACACAGGGGCCCCATTCAGCACAAGTACGTCGGCGCTACGTCGTTGATACTTTTTTTGAAAGGTCGGTATCTAGTAGTATTTCAGGTGTTTGCACATTGGCACTACGTAGCAGCGTTGAAACAGCTCTGTCCAGGCGATACTATCGCAACGTTTTCCGTCTCAACAGCGATGAAAACGCTACATCTACAGTAAGTGAAACTTCGCGATCATTCCCCGACCCTCTTACTATCCTAAACAATGATTCCCGACCCTCTTACTATCCTACACGATGATTCCCCGACCCTCTTATTATCCTACGATTGCCAATAATTATTTGTATGTTTGCTTTAGTGTTGAACACGTATTGATACTATTTTATTTATAATATATAAAGAAGTACAAAGGTGTTCGTTAAGAGTTTTTATTTAAAAAACAAACAAAATATAAAATGCACATGTTACAAAAATAAAAAATACAGAAAAATAAAAATACTGAAAGAAAAGAACTATTGGACAGGCCTGTTATGAGCCACTCTTTGATGGTTGTTTCAGCTTCAGCCTCATTTGGACTAGACACCAGTGGGTTTCGTAATGCAGACTCTAAAAAACAGAACAGACACAATTCACTTACATTATAAATTGGTAAATGTCAAATCATGAACAGGTGAGTTTATTGTTATTCCTTTAAGTTGTGATTGTTCACTTTTTATCTGCAGTCTGGAAAAAAGCAACTTTGGGCATTAAAACCAATGAAAACTATGGGAAAGAATTATGTAACGTGAATGGGGAGGTTAAATCCATATTGTGTCTAAACCTTTAGGATAAAAAGTTTATCCTGAAAGATCAAATTTTACGTTTGCTTAAACATTGGTTTTACTTACGGATAATCACATCTATGATGTTTGTATTCCTCAACAGTATTTCGTCCCCTCTGTCAACTGGGGAGCAAACACCTTTCCTTTACAGATGTTTCATCATACAAAATTTATTACATACTTTTGGATAGTGTGTGTGTATGTGTGTGTATATATATATATATATATATATACACACACCTGTATATATAAATATAATATGATATAAGTATACATTTCTTAGTATCCATGTATTACCTATGTATAAGGTAGTTTTCTAAAACCATAATCATACCTTGAAACTTTATTATTTAGAGTAAGAAAAAAAAAAACATTTCCAAAATCAATCTAAAATAATTCAATTAAAATAGATAAAGCATTTTTGTACAGTGCACTTGCCATCGTTAATGGTGTGTCTGCAGGACTGTTACCCCAAAAGGGAGGTCTTTGGGTAACAATCTGTCAGGTGTTGGACCTGGCTCTGCAACTCCCCCAACATTTGCAGAAGGATCCCCTCTGTTGCTGTAAGGTCAACAATAGAGAATACAGCATTAAATATTTAGACATACATCGAGACAGATGTAGATGTAGATTTGTTTTCAACTTACGTGTGCATTGACTTGGTATAAGTTGCCCTTTGGGTAACTGAGTTCTCGAAGGAACATCTGTACGAATGAGACAGTAAAATAATTACTCTAAAACCCTAAGTGATCACAATTACTATCTTGTATTATATTGAAAATTGAAAAGCACAATTGTGATAATTTTCAGTATGCACATGTATTTTGAGAGTGATCTTATGCCATAGTAATACAACTCAAATTAATAGTAACATACAAACACATCACACAAAAAGTCGAGCATGGTAACGTTAGCATAGCCATAAATGTTAAAATGGTAACAGTGCGATAAAAAGTTTGTAACAATAAATAATTAATCAAAACACAATTGTTAACATATTAATTTGTATTATCAAAAACAAAAAGAAAATCATTTAGATCATTTTGAAACTATTTAAGAAAGAAATTATTTTCAACCTACCTTTCCAACCAAGCGTACGCGACGGAATAGACTTCGTTTTTTCTTGTCTTTTAAAGCTGGTTTAACAGGGAACAAAATATCTTTTAAAACCACGTTTCTCAACCACTGATGGGCCGCGAAGGCTACAGATTGGGCCACAAATTTAAAATCGAGACTGGCCATTGGACCGTATAGGGCCACCAGCACCACATTTAAATCTAACCATGATGCATTGCATCAGGACCAGAATGCATTGCTTTAAGCCAGCACTGTAAGCCCAAGGCACCGTGTGTGGAGTGTGGATTAACACTTTCAGACGAGGCTCTAAAACAAGCAGCATATCGAAACAAAGCACCCAAAACTACAACTGCAGAAGCAGACAATTGTCTCCCTAACAACACACACTTATTTAAGAACAGTTGCATGTATAGCCATCTGACATTGCCAAGTCTTCACCAACAGTAGGACATCTCTCAATAGATCCCCACACAGGTGCACTCATATTTAAAATACTCTCATATAAACAGGATCTCAAATAAACATTATCAATGATAACAAGAAATATTTAGCAATGTCCAGTATATAAAGTAGCTATGCAAGATCGTACCATACCCTATAATATATGCAAGTAATATTACTATAAGGTGGCACGGTGGTGCAGTGGTCCTGGGTTCAATCCCCGGGTTACCCAGGGTGCCTTTCTGTGTGGAGTTTGCATGTTCTCCCTGTGCACGGGTGCTCTGGTTTCAAGACTGGCCCAACTGCATGGCTAGTCTAAATTGCCCATAGGTGTGACTGCGAGTGTATGTGACTGTTTGTCTGTGTTGGCCCTGTGGCGGACTGGCAACCTGCCCAGGGTGTACCCTGCCTGTCGCCCAAAGATGCTGGGATTGGCTCCAGCTTCCCCACAACCCAGATGGATAAAGCGGTATAGATAATGGATGGACATTAATAATATTATTAAAGTAATATTACTATTTCGAGGCAAACAAACCCTTTTTTAAACAAGATCCGATGTGATGCACATCCAGGGCACGAAGCTCCCGTTCCACCACATCCCAAAGATGCTCTATTGGGTTGAGATCTGGTGACTGTTGGGGCCATTGTAGTACAGTGAACTCATTGTCATGTTCAAGAAACCAATTTGAAATGATTCGAGCTTTGTGACATGGTGCATTATCCTGCTGGAAGTAGCCATCAGAGGATGGGTACATGGTGGTCATAAAGGGATGGACATGGTCAGAAACAATGCTCAGGTAGGCCGTGGCATTTAAATGATGCCCAATTGGCACTAAGGGGCCTAAAGTGTGCCAAGAAAACATCCCCCACACCATTACACCACCACCAGCAGCCTG